AGGGCTGATGCCAAGTGGCATACTGGCAGTTGGAACGTCTCAAGTTCTTACTGGTGAGGAATAGTTTCAGTTCAGTTCAGTTTAAACAACCATTAAGCATGCATTCCCGTGCGACGCTTTTGGTTGCTGTTTTTTGGCTGCCGATTTGGGTGAACCCCTAGGAGGAAAACAGGAAGGTTGAAAGTATAATCGAAGAGAAAATTGAAAAGTTCAGTGGACTAATGAAGCAGAGAAATTCAGAGAATGCGCGAAAGCCACTGTTTACGGCACTCAGCCATATCACTCAGTGTCTCTAACCATCGTTTATGATCATCCTGAGGTCCCCAGCCAGGGAGCTTAACGAGACCTATGTGACCCAGACTCTCGGTTAGCGATTTTATACTCATGCCGGGTCTTAACTTGACCACCCTTGACCTTTTTCCACCCTCTAGCTGCCGCGACAAACATCGCTTGCCGTGGCAACCTATCTGGTGACATGCATAACACTTGTTCAGACCAACGTAATCTATGGAGGTCGACCACTTGCTCCAGTGGGGGACCGCGGTTGTGTAAATGTTTTGCGCCTGATCTCAGCATTGCAATGCTACATAGACAGCGATGTTCAAACGCTGAAAGTCTACTTTTACTCTGATTCCTTATCTCCAAGTTTCTGCGCCGTATAATAGAACTGGCCGAACTGTCGCGGCATACACTCGACCCTCTGACAACCGGATGCCGGGGCGCGTCACAGATGTCTCAAGTTGGCAGATGCCAACCGAGCCCTCTGTATGCGAGCTGACACTTCATCTGTGATGCGTCCACCGAGTGAGATGTATCTGCCCAAATAGCAAAACTTATCCACTTGCTCTATTACTTCACCAGTTAGTGAGGCTGGGTGCTGGACCAACTCAGTCTTGTAGTAGCATTTTACAAAACGCATACCGAATATGGCTACGCTCGCATTCAAGTTATCCAGAAACGCTTGCAACTTACCTGGATCTTCACGTAGCAGCGCAATGTCGCCAGCTTACTCTATCAGACAGTCTGTCTTCTGGGAGGAAATCGATACCGCTATCCTCGCACAAGGATAGGACTGTTTCCATAATCAAATCTGTAACAAAGTTGAATAGAAAAGGGGACAGAGGGCAACCGTCGAACACCACTTTACGTAATGAACTCGGATGAAAACGTGCCGTAAGCCCGGACTCGACTTCGACTATTAGTGTAAAGAGATCGTAATATTGAAATTAACTTCTCGGGCACATCTTTCAGAGAAAGGCAGAGTCAGCGTTTAGAGCGGTCGACTGAGTCGAAAGCCGCTTTCAGATCGAGGAAGACAGAGATGTGAGGTTCACGAAAAGAATATCGGTGCTGCAGAGTTTGGCGAGTTATAGGCGGTGGTTGGAACATGAGACCAACAGTGGTATTCTTTTTTCTGAGCGATAGTGATCCAGTCCGAAAGAACCTCACACTTGCTCATCGCTCGAAGTCAGCCAACCCACTCTAGCATTCTTGTCTTCTGCTATAATCACGATGTCAGACCGACTCACTTTACGCAGGAGGTGGTTTAGATTAAGGTAGAATTCATCTTTGACTGCATCTGGGCTGCTGTCTTTTGGATCGTACGCCGACAGGATAAATAATTTTCGTTTGTCTTAGCCATGGGTTCCTTTGCAAGAAACTCTGCCTAACATTCTGTCGACTGGGATCCAATTCGGGATCGGCGTCAAATGTTTTGTACAGAGTTAACATACTTTAGCCTGGAGAGACTTTAGAGCAGAGTTCATCGTTTTAGGCGTTGTGGGCTGTTGTAATGCTCGGTCTACCGGTCCAGAGTAGTCCTTGTTCGAGGTTACACTCCAGCCTCTGCGCAACAAAGCGCGGACTGCAAGGCAGAAGCGATGTTTCAGATGGGTCGGTGGCCATCATTTGATTCATTCGTCTCTTCTGGAAAACCTTGTCGAACAATGTATTTCGACAATGGGCGATGGTCATATTAAGTGGCGGGTCACACTCGTGATGTCACAGCGCTGTTCACTGATGTGTGGCGTTTTGTGCAAAGAATCTTTGCCAGGAGGTGGACCCATGATATCCCTGAGCGCTGCACTGATCGTCCGCGATCGCTTATTCGGGGAACCTAAGCCCACCTTGTTCACGGTTAGCCGCGAGATAATGGCCGTTCCTATTTCCCCGGCCTGGGGACGCGCTTGGTAGTATGCAGCTCTCCTTTCCCGAGTGTGAGTAATTGTCTGTTGTCCATATGTGAGTTGTTTAGTCAGGCAGGCATTCATCCACGTCGAAATAGAACTGTTGACATCCTAATGAAACTACATTTCATCAACATCCATCTCAACTGGACAGCTTTTCTGTTACTCAACCTCACACCATCTCTGCCCCGTTGCAACTTTTTCCTGTTCCGCTCTAATCCTCTCCCCATGGCTTAGGCTACCGGTTTCCACAGTCGAACATGAGGTTCTCGTAACTATGGAGATTCATTCATTCTGGTTCTCCGTTGTTCAGTTCAATTTTTTTACAACCATTAACCATGCACTTTCGTGCGCCGGTTTTGGTTGCCCATTTGGATAAAAGAGCAAAATGAAGATTGGAATGTCGAAGCAAATTCAAGCGGAAGATGGGGAATTCATATAGTGATGTTAGGAGAATAACGAGTGGATGCACAAGCGTCACTGTTTGCGACACCCAGCCATATCACTCAGTGTAGCTAACCATCGGTGACCATCATCCCGAGGTCCCCAGCCAGGGAGCCTAACGGGGCCTATGTGACCTAGTCTCCGTACATGAATGTGTACTGATGCAGTGTAAGACGAGGGCTTGTGTTGCTTGCCCACTCATTTCCCTTGGATGTTGGTTAGTTTGCTTCACACGGCTTATGATATTCTGCACATGTTTTATTTGTTACATTTCTACTTTTGACTGTTGTAAGTTGTCCAACTCTGTTCGGACAATCTTCCCTGTTTCCTGCTCTCTTATTGGGTAACTCTAATCTGTTTGGCTTGTCGGCTGGCCATCTTGGTTCGCTTACTGTTTTGCTCTGACCAACACGCTTTGGTACTGATCAAATTACCTCAAATGTACGTCTCCTTTCGATTTCACCCTTATTGTTTGCCATGCCGTATATAAACCTATAATTTTATCATTACGGAACCACTTCGCTCACGTAGCTGAGACGTTCCTACTATCTCCTGATNTAGATACAAATCACATGTCAACACAGATCATGTACTGCGCAGTATCTCGTTCGCGTGGATTCAATTAATCACTCGCATAAAATCTTTGTTCAGGCCCTCAATATTGGTTTCAAACAAAAACAATATTTAGGTTGATAATATATTCGATCACAATGCATCATTTACTTCATACCTTCAGGAGACAACTCAGCGTAGTAGAATGTGACTAGATAAGAATGATTTGATTGTTAAATGGTGGTAGTGGAGGATTTGGTTTGATCATATAGTGAGTTTCGTCGTGTACAGAGCAAATGAAGTTTGAACTGAAAAGCTAAGAAGCACTGGCCACCTTTTTCGACTTGGTTAGATTCGCACTGCTGATGATAACCAACTAGGTAGAAACAGCTGTCCAGTGTATCTCAGCTTTCCAGTTCATGATTTGTTTACTCTTTGCACACCGAGATTCACGAGATGATTTAACTCCCGTACGGTAAAACAGATTTGTGTGTAAATATGACATGGATTAAAACAGCCCACGCGTCGACAGAGTTGTTGTACTTATTTCCAGCGTTTTATCCTGAAATTCCGTGCACCGTGCTTCTTGGTCTGATCACGAAGCATGCAGACGCTACGCTGCAAACTAGGATAGAATCAAACAACGACAACCTTCATCTCCGGTGCTGCAGATATCGGACACCTTTTCTATGGAAAACAGTTGCACTTATGAGCATTTCATTCGGGCTCAAGTTTTTTTCTCGACACTGCAATGCCATGTTCAAGTGGTCTTCAATTGGAAGTCATTCCCTTATAGTTTCAGGGTACATATTGTCAGTACCCTTTATCAAATACTGACCGAGAAATCGCCCCTGTGGTTACTACTCATCTTATTAAGGCGTGTCATAAAACCTTTGGCGCTGGTATTGTATCTTTGAGTTGTCCAAAAAACGGTAAGAGTTCTGTTCGCTTCCTAATATGCCAGCATTCCAGCTAAATACATAGTCGTTGATTGACTGTGCACCTCCTTGGTTATGTGAGTCACGATGTTTAATCATTTAATAAGTCTCAACAAAGTTAGTTGTTATGGGAAATTATTTCGTGAACGTATTTAAAACGGATTGGCATGCTGCTCTTAAGCATTTCTATCTCAGCTCTACTGTCACTCATTCACTACGCAGCCTACTTGTTAACTCTAAACTTCAGGCCACTTGAGAGCAATGTGCGGCTTGTAAAAGCTATTGTAGTTGCATCGTCGATTTTACGAGAGCTGGACTTGAATTAAGCAGTGCAGTTCTCCCACACGGCGCATCCAAGTGATTTGGCTGGTTACCTTTTGTAGATATGGTTTCGTTCAGCCTATAACAACCAATAATCGATGCCACATCTTCCAGGCTGACACCTAAGGCACTCTTCTACCGCGGCTTGCGATGTTTTCTGAGATAGATAGTGCATCTACTCGATTCCTTCACCGAGTTTAGTCAACCCGGATTCTCTCTCTCCACATTGACGTTGTTTCCGGAATTCTAATCTTTGCTCTATTCGGTTATCTAAATAAGTAGCCAAAAGACAACAGCCGGGACCGCCGCATGATTGTACAAGCCGATCTGTGCGGGTGATTCTATTTCTTTTTTTCCAGTCTGCCTATTGCTTCCGCGTGTTCATTCTAACCATGTGTGTGTACCGTGATAAAGATAGCAATCAATGATGTTTGGAGTGCGTTGGTTATGATTCCACCTCTTGACATGGTGTTCGTTTCTTTCTACCCACAGGTTCTGCACAAAACCCAGTCTGCGGATATGCCAATTTAAATTATTTAAATTATTTTTCGCGCGCACGATGCTCGGTTGTTGGTGTGTCTGCAGTGAAAAGATCAAGGTACAAGACCATTCGGGACGTGCCACCACATTTTACATTCGAGATCGTCTAGATCAGGGGTATGCGTGGAACTATCTTTTCCTCTTGCTGCATGTATCCCTATTTGTGGTGGTGGTGGTGGTGGTGGTAGTCCTATTTACGGACTATTTTTTTGTTAAACTTTAGCGGATTCAGTACAATTGAACTGGCTTCTCCGACTCAGAGTAGACAATTGTTTGTGCTCAAACGAATCATTTGTCACTCGAAAGCGGACGAGGAAAAAGCACTTCGTGAGGCTCACTTGCACTTGAATCTGCCATCCCACCCGAATCTGCTTCCCTGCTTCGGAATAGCGCGCAAAGCTCTTTTGGGTCATCCCCAAGGTGCTCTATCTGAAGTCTACCTGATCCTACAATATGCCAAGGTACGTCCTGGAGCACCAGCGATCTGAACCAGATTGTTCCATCTCACCAGCAAGGTACGCTACAACGCTATCTGGATCAAAGTCGGATTCGTGCTAACTCGATCCCCGATAGACAGGTCACACGTTTGATGCTGGGCATTTGTGAAGGACTTTTGGCGTTGTTATCATTGCATATGCCCCTCGCACATCGGTATGAGTGCTTTCTTATTCATGCGCATCGAACTGAGTTACATCACATTATTTTTTCAGAGATTTGAAGCCGGGAAACGTGTTATTGCTTGGCACCTGGTGCCCAGTTCTCATGGATTTCGGCTCATGTACACCGGCGGTAATTGAAATAAAAACGCACAGAGACGTCGAATACTGGAAGGTTTGTTCAACAGCAAACGAGATTGCATTTTTAAGTAATTGTACAGAGTTTA